TAGAAAAAGTACAATTGGTTTTGTATTTTTCTTGGGTGATTCTGTTATTTCTTGGAGTTCAAAGAAACAGTCCATTGTTACTCTCTCGACTTGTGAAGCCGAATATATAGCAGCAACATCATGTACCTGTCATGCTATTTGGCTAAGGAGATTATTAAAGGAGCTCAATTTGCCACAAATGGAAGCTACAGAGATTTGTATTGATAACAAATCTGCACAGACACTCGCCAAGAATCCGGTATATCATGATCGAAGCAAGCATATAGATACAAGGTATCATTTCATCAGAGAGTGCATTACCAAGAAGGAAGTCAGACTCAAATGTGAAGTCTGATGATCAAGTCGCAGATATCTTCACAAAGCCTCTTAAGTTTGAAGATTTTCAAAGATTGAGATCAAGACTTGGAATAAAGAAGAAAAATCAAAATTAAAGGAGAGATTTGTAGGACCCATAAAAGGAAAAAAGAAAATAAAGAAAAAGTTAAAAAAGTTGGTGAAGTCAAATTAGGGTGGCTGAAATTTTTTCAATAAGGGAGGCTGAAATCTGGACTTTACAAATTGAGGAACCAATCAGGTTGGTTGGGTTGGTGAAAATGTGCCTATAAATATGAGCTTTATTCGTTCAGTTTAAGTACACCAAAATAACGAGAGAAGCATAAAGTAGTGAGAGTAATCCACAGATTGTGGTCTGTGANACCAGATATACTTTTTTGCAGTTGGAGTAGTAAGTCGCTTCATGGAGGCTCCTACTTCTACTCACTTGAAGGTCACTAGAAGAATTCTTCATTACCTAAAAGGTACGATTGATGTTGGGTTATTTTATTCTTCTTCTAATGATTTCAACCTTGTGGGATTTTGTGATAGTGATTATGCGGGAGATATTGATGATAGAAAAAGAACAACTGGTTTTGTATTTTTCTTGGGTGATTCTGTTATTTCTTGGAGTTCAAAGAAACAGTCCATTGTTACTCTCTCGACTTGTGAAGCCGAATATATAGCAGCAACATCATGTACCTGTCATGCTATTTGGCTAAGGAGATTATTAAAGGAGCTCAATTTGCCACAAATGGAAGCTACAGAGATTTGTATTGATAACAAATCTGCACAGACACTCGCCAAGAATCCGGTATATCATGATCGAAGCAAGCATATAGATACAAGGTATCATTTCATCAGAGAGTGCATTACCAAGAAGGAAGTCAGACTCAAATGTGAAGTCTGATGATCAAGTCGCAGATATCTTCACAAAGCCTCTTAAGTTTGAAGATTTTCAAAGATTGAGATCAAGACTTGGAATAAAGAAGAAAAATCAAAATTAAAGGAGAGATTTGTAGGACCCATAAAAGGAAAAAAGAAAATAAAGAAAAAGTTAAAAAAGTTGGTGAAGTCAAATTAGGGTGGCTGAAATTTTTTCAATAAGGGAGGCTGAAATCTGGACTTTACAAATTGAGGAACCAATCAGGTTGGTTGGGTTGGTGAAAATGTGCCTATAAATATGAGCTTTATTCGTTCAGTTTAAGTACACCAAAATAACGAGAGAAGCATAAAGTAGTGAGAGTAATCCACAGATTGTGGTCTGTGAGATAACTAGTGAGTGGTAGTAATATGGTAGTGAAGTATTTTGAAAGAGTGTTATTTCTTTCAAAGTTGTAGTAGTCTCTTGACACTACTGAGTTGTAATATTATAGTGGTAATATTGCTCCACTCGGGTATTGCATTTTATCCTGCTATAATATTTGGTGTCATTGTTACTTTCTTGTGTTATTATTATCTGCTGTGAATATTGCTCCTAGGCGAGATTATTTTTTATACCAACATCCATATCTTGCCAAATGCATCATCTCAGGTACTGTTCCCAATTCTTGTTCAATCTTGCTTAGCGCTGATAATATATCCCCTTTATTAAAGTTCCTCTTCTTCATTTACAAAGGTGGCTGTGATGCATCAGCTGGGTTGGTTTATTGGTTTAGGAATGGCCATAACCGGAGGCGCCAAGCCAAGATTTTGAGTTTATGAATTTTGGATTCTAGAAAAGGCACCTTAGTAGTTTCTGAATAAATTATTTATTCGTGAGTTTTTAATTCAAATATATGGTCTGGACCATAGCTACTAGGTTATGTCGAACCCGTACTTAGAACTCTAGCTTCGCCCCTGGCCATAACCATAGGGCCCCTGACTGTGCTATCAGGTCAGAGCATGTGACCGAAACTTCCACTTCCTCTTGCAAGGTTAGACTACTTTCCTTTTTCTTTTTTTCTTTTTTTAATAAAAGAATCAAGCTGTCAAGTAATTAGATCCCTCTAACTAAGGCCTTGACCAATAAGATGCATGTGCTCAATCTTTTTTATGATAACAGTCCTATTGTGAAGTGAAGGAAGAGTACACAGTTTCATAGTTCCTGTAGACTTCTTTGCAGGATCCAGTTTACCTGAGTGAATACTCTTATGCTGCGCAAAGCAAGGTTGTTTAGTTCAACAGTGTAATCTCCACTGATTTTTATATAATATAGATTAAATCGGTTCACTTCAATCTGCTGTCTTGAGGAGCGTAAAGGAAATCTACTTCCAGGTAGAGAAGATAATTTCTTACTGATGAATGAAAGTGAATCCAAAATTGCTGCCCTGTAAAGGATTTTGAAGTAAACTAAATTCTACCTGTAAACTAAATTCTACTTTGAAGACACACTTTGATTAATAATGCATGTCTTGGTTGATATTAACACTTTTGCATCCATGAACTGAGATGTTGCTTGTTGGATGACCTTGCATTTGAGGTCTTTGAGCTTGAATTAGATGTCATCCTGATATGCTCATAATAGGTTCTTGTTCTGCATATAAGATGTGTGAATAGTCAGTGGAGAATTTTCATCGAGGAGAGTCAAAATATAAAGAAACAAACTCACCACGAAGTCAAGAGGTGTCAATACTTAGTATGTATAATATATTTCATAAAAAAAAATTATCTAACTACACAGTGTAAATTTTCGACAAAGGGTGTGTCGGCTTTAAGTGCATGTGGCTCCGCCACTGGGAATAGTGCTGGCAGTACATCAGCTTCTCCTATGCTGATTGACCTTTTGGCACCAAACCTGGACTAGTCACTATTTTCCTGTTTTTGTTTCCTTATAGATAGACTTGGGAGGCGTCAATGAGATCAACAACTGCCACTTTGTTACTGATGACTTATCAGACACCAACATCATGTAAAAGTCTTTTCACACAGTTATAAAAAGTATCCTGTTGTTCTTGAAATTTTAATGGCTGATATCCTAAGAGTACTCCCTTTGTCATGGCTCAGTGGGCTGCAGAAGGTAAGAAGGAATTTCTGCCTGTCACAAACAACAAGGATGGATACTCTTTCCTCTATACTTTTGGGTGGCAGGTCATTCTGAATTTGATGGCTATAATGTTCTCTATTGGTTTTCTTTTTACGGTTGTCTTTTGTTCCTATGTCATAGTTATGTCAATAAATTGCTGGACAAACTGGAGTATGGAGCTGCATTTGTTGGTTTTGCAATTTCAATTCCTTAATCCATAAGTACGTTAGAAAATTCTAGTCACCTTTAATATAATTCCACTAATTTTTAAAGTGAAGATAAAGTATTAGTGTAAATGTGATACCAAGCAGTAAAGTGGACATACGAGATTTTGGTTCGCCACAACAGGTTTGTTGAAATGCTAGATTATTTATCCCAGATATTTATATAACTGTTTGGCTGTTTTGGATTATTTTGCTCCACGAAGTAATTATAATTTTCACTGATTGCATATTAATTTGGGATTGTGGCACTCGTCAATGTATTCTTACCAGAACTATTCATATTGCAGGTTGCTGAAATTTTAACAAAAACGTTTTTGGTGTCACCTTCTCAGAAAACAAAACTGATTCACGCATCAGAGGTGTGTTGTTTGGTATTTCTTCCATCACTCAAAATTTGTAATTGGTCTTTGAGTGCTTGTCATACAACAACGGCCCAGTATAATCCCACAAGTGGGGTCTGGGGAGGGTAATATGTACGCAGACTTTACCCCTATTGGTGTTACTGTTGAATAAACTTTTCAGAACCTTAACATCTTCGATGTAACCCACTGTACATATCTTCATTCTGGACCAAACCAATTGGTTAACATGTTTGATGATTTGTGCCCTTAAAAATGCATTTGCCCTTACAAGAAGGAAAGCCACATATTCTAAAGCTATGTTTATGCAATAGCAACTATGCCTCTATCCTAAGTAGTTTAATAATGTGTTTCGATGAACTTAAATAAAGAAGCAAAAATCATTTCTTAGCTTAGAGTTACTTATGTAAGAAAGAACATGAACACTTACAGTCATAATGTGGGTGAACTTGTTGCGGTTTCCCATGAACTTAAAAGAAGAGTTAAAAAATTAATACGTTCAATTCACAGAAGTCAAGTTGCAGTTCTGTAATCCTTTTCCTTTCTATCCTTTCCTTAGTGTGAGCAACTAGTCATGAAACTTCATCATTCTAATTCCAGTTCAGTGAACTTTCTATTCAGATGTTCTCTTGAACTTTGCTCGAAAAGGCATATATCTATTTCCTTCTCTTTGCAGTTCATTTGTGACAAAGATGAGTTAGTGCACTATTTTGACCGGTATCATATGTTCCAATATTCTCATAGCTCTATATTGGCACTACGTCTATTTGGAGAGCGCGTGTATATTCGAATTCATGCCGGGTCGTTCAACTACGAAAGCTATCCATCTCATCCGGAGGTTGGTGGAACAGTACAGGAATAAGAGGAAGGATTTGCACATGGTATTTATTGACATAGAGAAAGCGTACGACAAGGTCCCGTGGGAGGTTCTTTGGAGGTATTTGGAGGTAAAAGGTGTTCCGGTAGCATACATTAGTGTAATTAAGGACATGTATGACGGAGCCAAGACTCAAGTTAGGACAATAGGAGGAGACTCGGAGCATTCTCTGGTGGTTATGGGGCTACACCAAGGATCTGCGCTCAAGCCTTTCTGATTTGCACTGGCGATGGACGCTCTGACGCAGCATAGTCAAGGGGAGGTGTCATGGTGTATGTTATTTTGCGGATGATATAGTTCTGATTGATGAGACGCGAGGAGGTGTTGACGAGAGACTGGAGGTTTGGAGACAGACTCTTGAGTCTAAAAGTTTCAGGTTGAGCAGGACTAAGACATACTTGGAGTGCAAGTTCAGCGAAGTGGCAGGTCGATTATCTAGGGGAACAAGGAGATCGCGAGGATGTCATGCACCGTATAGGGGCAGGTCGGATGAAATGGAGGTTAGCATTTGACATTTTGTGTGAAAAGAAGGTGCCCCCGAAACTTAAAGGCAGGTTCTACAGAGCGGTGGTTAGACCGGCTATGTTTTATGGGCACAATATTGGTCAGTTTAGATTTCCCATATACAGAAGATGAAAGTAGCAGAAATAAGGATGTTGAGATGGATGTGCGGGCACACGAGGTTGGATAAGATTAAGAATGAAGATATTCGGGCAAGGGTGGGCGTGACTCCCATGGAAGACAAAATGCGGGAAGTGAGGCTTAGATAGTTTGTGCACGTGCAGAGGAGAAACATAGATGCCCCAGTTATGAAGTGCGAGCGGTTGGCTCTGATGGGTATGAGGAGAGGTAGAGGGCGGCCAAAGAAGTATTGGGGAGAGGTGATCAGGCAGGACATGACGCGACTCTAGCTCACCGAGGACATGGTCTTTGATAGGAAGGCATGGAGGGAGAGCATTAGGTTTATAGGTTAGTAGGTAGTGAGCATTTTTTTGCTCAGTTTTGTGTGTAAGTCTAGTCGGTCAGTGTCGTGTTTTAGTATGCTAGTGGTACATGTTGTGCTCGTACTATTTTCTAGGACCTTGTCACTCCGCTGATTATTGATATTGCTTTTCCAGTATATTTTCTGATTCTTAGCTCGTTCGTACTATCTTCCTGGTTATGTTGTTGTTATTATTCTTTGTCGATTTTCATCTTCTAGTGCCGAGGGTCTATTGAAAACAGCATCTCTATCCAGGGTAGAGGTAAGGTCTGCGTACACATTACCCTCCTCAGACCTCACTTGTGGGATTATACTGGGTTGTTGTTATTGTGTATAGGGGGGAATTTTGGTTTACAGAAAACCGCGCTTTCATTTGTCTACCAGAGTGATTCTCTTTTTTTTTTCTTTTTTGGTAAAGTACCAACAAATGATAAAATTGAAAAATAACTTCCATTTTACCAGAAAATTGAAAACCATGCAATGCCCTCCGACACTTGATGTCACGAAGTTCTTCATTCTCTATTGGCCTTCTATTTGGTTTAAGACTAACGAAAGCTACTCGTTTTATGAGATCCTGAAGGATATCTACGAAGGATTTAGCTGTTGACTTGGTATATCATGTAAAGATAAACTAGAAATTGTGATCAACATTTTTCTACGTTTCAGCAGGGCGTGACCTTTTCTTGTGATGGCTATTTAACCGGTTAGCAAGACAAGTTATTCAGTTTCTGAATCAACAGACTAAATTGATTCACTCTTCCCATGATTCAACCTCTTGTTATTATTGGATTTGAGGTGATAAATTACTTAGATTGGTTTCATTGGAGTAAAGTTAAGCTACTTGTGCAACTGCTATCTAAAGTTAATAACTTATTTCCTTATGCCGGTACATGACACTTCGTTTTCATGCTTCAAAAATGTCACAAGGAAATATCTAAAGGTTTCATTTGAACCAGTAATTCACAGAATTCTATCTGTAAATCTATTTGATGATCATTGTCTGATGATTCTGTAGCGCAGCGTTGATGACAAAACCTATTACACATTCGAGTTTACTGCACAAGTCCCAAATTATGCTCGCCATGCAATCACTGCAGTCTGCATTGGCAACGGTATGATACTTATTTTAGGTTTTAATTGTCAATGTGTATGCTATGGAAAATGTTTTACTTCTTCGCGGACTATGATGTTTCAAATTCCTTCCGTAAACTGATAAAGAAAGGGTCTCATTTCCCTGCCTTTCCGGAGTAGAACTTGATTACCTGCCAAATTCTTGCACCGTTATAGTTTTGGTACTAATTAGTTGAAAGATGCAGCAACATAAATATTGATATACTTCGACTTTGACAAGAGGGTTGCTCTGATGGTAAGCAACCCCCACTTCCAACCGAGAGGTTGTGAGTTCGAGTCTTCCCAAGAGCAAGGTGGGAAGTTCTTGGAGGGAAGTATGTCGGGGGTCTATTTGGAAACAGTCTCTCTACCCTAGGGTAGGGGTAAGGTCTGCGTACACACTACCCTCCCCAGACCCCACTAAGTGGGATTATACTGTGTTGTTGTTGTTGTTGTTATTGGACTTTTTCACTAGCCTGCAGGATCGTCAACTTAGGCTTTAGCAAGAACTAATTCAGTCTCCTGTGTACTCATCTATCACCATAGTTTTGTTTCCATCAATTAATCTTATGATAACATGTATAGATGGTTTTATCTACATTGACAATGAGGTTTATTAGTCAACTTCCACCTTGGTTCATTATTTAGTTTAAACAAAAAAGGTTAATGACAGTCAGCCCAACACTTCCTTGGTTCCATTTCATGTGTTTCCCGGTTCCCTCCTATTTTATTTGCTACTTGTGCGTCTAAAATCAATGTTTCTCACCAACTTCTTTCATCTCTTTCGACATGCATTTCAAATTTTCAATGATGTTGCATAAATTTCTGATATATATTTCCATTTGAATGATGAATCCTAATGCAGGAAAGTTCTTTACTTGACAAATGGGGAGAAGATGAAGGATAGATTACATACTGTGGTTGACTCTTTCCAAACTTTCAATGTCTAATAGAATAATATACTTTAGTAACACATTGCTTCGTGGTGTTAAATTCCAGAGGAAAATATCTGGGATTGGAGGTTGTATAATGCAGAGGCGAACTTAGGATTTAAATCTATGGGTTCAACTTTTAAGGTTTTTAGCATTTAACTCATTATATGTTAAAGTTATGAGTTCATATTTGCTATTTTTGCAATTTTAATGAATTTTTACTCATAAATTTTTACTTTGTGTCGAAAGTTATGGGTTCAATTGAACCCGTCATTATCGCACTACATCCGCCCCTAGTATAATGGATGTAGATATAAGTGGTTTGCTTATTTTCAGCCATTCAAAATGGCATTACAGATTTTATAGCAGCGTCCTTTGTTGAATACCCGTTGTTCTATTCTATTTCAACGTTGACACTGTATTTTCTTTTCTTTACTGCCCTGAACCACAACTTTAGCTTGTAACACTCTTCAGATTTTATACCACAGTTCCTAAGCCAAAAGAAACAAGAATAAGTAGCAAACCTACTCTTCGAAACGGCTGAGGCGGAGCCATGATTTAAAACTTATGGGTTCGAGATTCTAAAAATTTTAAGTTAATGGGTTCTAAATTAACAATTTATACATGTTCAATAAATTTCTCAATTCAAATATATGATTTGGACCAAAATTACTGGGTTAGGCCGAACCCGTAGTTTCAACTCTTCCTCCGCCCCTGAATGGTGGTTCAAACTATTTTTTCTTTCTCATAAGTACAAAGTTGACAAAATCTCACAAGTTCAGTAAAAATTCTTACATTGGTTTGGTTCCATGCACAAGAATAGCACAATGTATGCATGGCATGAATAAGCCCTGAAATCATGCATAAAAAGCTGAGGAGTTTGTTTTAACCATTCACAGCAAATGTGCTCCAAATTAACAGATAAAGAATGAGAATGGCATGTAATTTCACCTTTTGTATATAACCTTATACATTATATCCAAATTTCCCAAGCATGGCCTGCATGATTCTTCTCTTCCCCTTTAATTATTTTTAGAACTTATCTGACCCATATTTTTGTCCTCTTATCTTTCTCTACTGAGCCAATTCTTGGTTGGAGCTCATCAGGAAATGATGATCTTAAAGAAAGATGAACTTTTAATTTCTTATTAAAAGAAACAACACATATATTAAGTTACCCTCTAAATAATGGAAAAGAAAAGGCAACTTTTGTGTCATTTTCATGGGTACAAGTTCATGTTTCCTTCTTCCACACAGCAATTTTTCCGTTGTATAATAAACGTTAAGATGAAGCATGCCATATTTAATTTATGCCCTTAAAAACATCATTATTTGCCATGATTCTGTCATTTGTTTAAGGCAAAAAAGCAAGTCGAAAGGGGCCTAATTAGGCAGTTACAGGGGAATTCTTTTTCATTGTGTGGATCCCAATTCACACTAGCAGCCAGGAGCACAAAGTGATGTTTTATCATATGCTAAATAATTAAAAATACATAAAGAAGTCCTACATTATTTCAACTGGATCTTTTAGATGTGTCAGAATTGGTTTAGAACAGCACATAGTGATAGCTAAATATATAGTAATATTAAATCAAATGGTCCTCCATTTGGCACGAAATTTGTATTATAAATTATTCTTTCGCTAGCAGAAACATACTCTGTATGAAAGATAAGTAGCAAGGATACCCCTTGTTTATCGTTTCTTTAACATGTCGTACAAACACTAAGCACACTACTATAGTGTATGTAATAATCACCCGCACAGTACCATTTTTAAACTAATAAAAACACTGTCATATTTGAGAAATTATAGATACAATCCATAATCAACAAGAACTTAATAAGTGTCTCTCTTTCCTTAACATTTCAGCGCACATATTTAAATGAGCCTTAGTTTATGTGAGGTGGGGATAATTCAATAATGAATAGTATCATACTTGTTGAGATAAGGGATTAAGTTTTTTAATAAATTGATAGTACATGCACCAAATTATCATGGGGTCTTATTGTCCAAGATGAGACTAAGCATCATCATACCGTAGCCCTAGGGCTTCCCGGGGGAGCTACTGCAATTTTAAGTACGGGTTCGGAAGAATTCAGTAGTTTTTGCTTAGATCCTATATTTATATTAAAATTAATTAAATATGTATAAATATTTTTATCCGAAAGTAGTAACTAATACGAGCTATGAATTTAATAGCAAATTTATAATACATAAATTTCAAATTCTAACTCCGTCTCTGACGGCATCCCACACGACTAAGTGACTGTCAGCTTCAAATATGTGATAAGAAATGTGCTTGATATGATCATCATCAGAATAAATATACAGCTAATTAAACACTTTTACTTGCACCATTGCAATGGCTCATGATATTGATTGGACTCGATATTTTTTCATGGTATATTCACTAGCACTTCCTGTAGTTTCGTTTTTATCATTTGTGGTAACTTCACAATAAAGAATTTATTCTCCAGATTACATTCGAAAGGGAAATAACTTTTCCTTTTGATTTACACCATATTCATGATATATATTCTATTGCCCGGAAAACAAAAGAGTACCAGATTTTTTGTACGAACACTTGTACACCCCCTGCCCTGACCGTACAAAAATATGAAACAAAACAAATCAATAAAGTTATATTCAGTGATGGTGTAAATTCTTTTTTAACTCTATTATAAAACGTTGCGTGCTTTATTTTTAAAGTTACCAATTTCATTATTATGTTTATTACCTACATTTTTAAACTCTTAATTAAGCTTGGGATTGTAGTCTGGATTAAGCACCTAGTATTTGTCAAACAGTCAACAAATAGTCAAAACAGTACATGTTACTACTGCATACATATTAGTAGTAAGCTTTTATCTAAACTGGATTAAAAAGAAGTGTTAAATTAATTTGAACTTATTCTTTTGAATTAGGGAATAAGTTACTTATAACTTTATTATTGCAGAGATTTATTAAATGCAAAGGGAACCTTAACAAATCTAATAAAGTAAATAATTAATCAGAACAATCCCAAAGAGAATCCATATGTGCGAAGCTAATATTCGAAAATCAAAGGAGAAAACTTGGAAGAGAAGTTGTGAGAGACAAAAAAAAATATGAAGAAAAAAACCATTGGTGGTCAAAGGAATACTTTCTCTTCCCTACATCATCATATCGATATATGAAATAATAAGAGATGCCCACTTTCCTTATTATCTTTGTTATTATAAATATATTATATTATGGATGTCTATTTAGTACTTCGTTGTAAAGCTTATCCATATGGGACTCCACCGTAAATATGTTTATCTATTTAGTACTTTATACCGGGTATAAATATTACCCCCGGTAGAAGATTATCCATACCGGGTATAATAAGCTTATCCTTTCAGTAC